TATAAAAATTCTTCGCTAGCATCAATAGTTACCGAGTAATTTGCGAAAAACTGTTTTTTCGTTTTTCCTCAATAACTCGTTAAATATTAATGCTAGCGAGAAAGTTTTATACAGAAATTGTAGATCTCGTCGTCCTCTACAAAAAAGGTCCTATGCAATTTTCCCACATCTCCAAGGGTTTAGGAGTTATTGGCCAAAAACGAAAATTTGGAAGAAATTGAAGGGGTACCCCTTGGAAAAATCTCGGAAAAATCGAAAATTTTTTTTTGTTGTTTATTATTAGCAATGTTCTTCCAACGTCTGATTTCTTTTTAAAAAATGCGTTTCTAAAGTGCATAAACTTTTGGGATTGACTATATAGCCAATAAATCCTTAAAGCTCTAATAAACTTTTGGTATGAAGAGCGAGCAAGATCAAGGCAAAATAAACTTTCGGTACTCTTTCAGCGGTCATCATCCTCGGTTTCATTTACGCGCAGAGATCAAAGACAGGACGAAAGTTCGCTCGGCTTAACAAATCGATGCTTCCTGGGCAGCGATAATGGATGGTTAATTAAACGAGAACGCGGCGTAGTCATTTTGATAATTAAGCTCCCTGTCCGTGAAACTTGAAAATTGACGAGTCCATTTTTGGAATTACTTTTAACCGACCGATTAAACTTATCAGCATAGTTTAAAGCAAGCACCGTCGAGCTCATACTAATTTTCTATTAACATTTTCACGAATCTACTTGTTGGAATCAATGGAAAAATCAATCGATGAAATATTTTGTTCATTTTTTTATATGTAAATAATTTCAAACTTATCGACTCATCGTATACTTTAATTAACCCTTTCGTTACGGGCGGGTTCTCCGCCGAGCGGTACTTCCGCTGAGCGACTATAATCACCCGTAGTAGCGAAAGGGATTTGTGACAGAGAAATTGGAGAATCAGACAATATTCGGTAGCAAGAACTAGTCTGTAACCAGTTGCGCGAAATTTCCTGAATCCTCGCCGACTGTTGCCACCACGTAACGTTGCCGTTTCCGGCGAAAACACCGCAAGGAATATCCGCTCGCTCAACAGACGGGCGGCTCGATGCGCAAACGAATTTTTGCACGGCTCCGTGACGCGATTCCATGAAAAAGTAACGCGGCACCTTCTCGTTCTTTGATATGAAAAGCGGCAGGGGCCAATATCTTCCGGCATCGCGATCGCCCCGCATTCCCGCTTTACCGATTTTCCAGCCAAGGCTAGAGATAAGAAGGGAGTGCAACGAACCATGAAAATACCGCGGAGAGCGGGCATAAATTCGCGAAAATATTTTCGCGGCGAGAACCGAGCTGCACCTGTTCCCAGTCGGTTTCGGGTACGGCCGTTCCACGACGCAGGACGATCGCTTCCGTTGCGATGGGCACCGCTTGTAACCCGCCGATCGGTCGTAAAGCGACGGAAGGACGGTTTTGAAATTCCCGGGACGAGGTTTCCCGTAGCGAATCGACCCCTATAAATAGGGAAACGAACGCGCGGCTCTATAACACTTGCGGATAATTTTTCTTTTCCAAAGAACGATGAAATTCCTGCCAGCTCCGGTGGGATGTTTGAATATTAACCAACCGTGTGTCCGTTACGATGCTCCTGTGGATATTGGAAAACATTCGTAAAAAGACGAATCTGGTGTTGGCCAAGTATTTGACCTAATGACAGTACTCTTAATAAAACTGACTTTTATATTAAAGAAAGTAGTAGTAGAAGTGAAGGTAGTCGTTGAACCGTAAGTGAAATTGGTACTTCTAGTCAGACTGAGTTACTTCGGATCATAACTTTTGTATGCATAATGAAATCAACCAAGAAACTTGACGAACAAGTTCATTATTACGATTAAAACCGGTCTAAGTAGAACAAGCCGCTATCTAGTCAGACACGGGCGTCAACAAACTAGATCGCGTGGAAGCAGAACTGATCCGGTGATGTAACAATCACGTAATACATGGTTAAACCTGTCGTAAGGTAAAATAGGGATGAGATAATCTAAGTAGGTGATAAGGATGAGAGATTAGAAACTCTGTAGGCTAAACGAACTTAAAAGCTTTACACGGGTCGATGTAAATGGTAATTAACGCGAAGGTAGAAGCAGAGGCGCGCCAGCGAGAACTAGTATCCATGAAAAAATCGGGTAATTGGATCAGTACACTGCGACCGCGCTTAGTAAATACACAAAGAGCGAAAGGAACAGAGGTTGCAGTTGAGTGAGTAGCGACACGTTAATTAGACATGCTGAAATAATGTTCTCGACTAAACAAAAATAACGTAATCAGCCTGTGAAATTATGTGACGAGCAGAGTCCGAGTTTTATGTCAAAAGGAAATCTCTGGTAAAAAATAGAAATTTAACAAACGCAAAGGTGGGCCAGCAGGGGTATGTTTCATTAATTATGGAGCAAGAAGAAGCTCTCAAAGTCGCCATTAGCCGAACGAGAGTCGAAACATGGTCACGATGGGTATGATTAATGCTAGTTGCTTCCCTTTCTTTCGTTCTCTTTATGGACGGAGCTGGATTTTCAAAGGAGGCACACTTCGCGCGAGAACAGACTCTTTTCTCTCCCCCGGGTCCGTGGCACTCATTATTTTCCCTCGGTTCGAGCATCGCGCCGAAGAGAGCGAGAACGCAAGGGTCCCCGAACAAAGAAAATCGGGCGTCGTGCGATCACGGACGCGATAAATTCGCGATACCGATACCTTCGTTGATATAAATCACCCGGGTTCGGTCAGCCTCGAATCGGGAACATCTCGGGCTCGGTGACTCGGTTTCGGCCTCGAATTTTTAATAACCGCGATAAATCTCGCGGGCAACTGTGCACCGTATTCGCGACGCGGCTCACGGATGAACGAGTAAAGAGAAAGGGGACGGTGAAACGAAATAGGGAGGTGGAGAAACGGAGGGATGGTCAGGATGAAGAATGTACTCCCGGAGCCTACTGCGAACGAGACCGTCCTGTAAATTTATCTTCTTTCCTAGGCGATGCGACTGCGGGGTGCGGTGGGCAGCAGAATCTCTGCAAACAAGTAACCCGCGAGCGGGACTAATTGAAACGGGAGTATTCAAACCGAGGGTCGAGGATGAGACTCGAGCGAAAGGTGAGTCCAAATGATGGCCATTGAGTGTCGTTGATTCGATCTGCTCTTATTGTCGGAGACCGGCCAAGTATAACCTCCGTGAATTATATGTATAGAATATGATACTTCACGGATTTTCGCATCTATTTTAAAGGCGTCCATTGAATTTGTATCGTCGAAGAGAGAAATCTTGGCGAAGAACGGATGATTCGTATTCCATTACTTTCTCCAGGTTTTATTTTCTAAGTAAGAAAATTGAGACAGTGCTTTACGTGTGTAATCAGTAGGATTTAGAAATTTCCTAAACTGTGACATTTAGCTAGCTACAGAATACTATTCTCACATTTGGTTAATTAGCATTAAAGCTGAAATTATACTGGCGATTTCTTACCTAAAATAAGAGAATCGTAATTTTTGGTGGTAAAGTAGCTCAAAGAATAAACGAGCCGCTACTTTATAACCCCGCTCTTAACTTAAACATAATTTATTCATATATAAGTGCAGGCAGATCCGGGTTGGTTATGGTTACAACTACGGTAAAACTATCTTCAGAATCTTCTCGTCTATAAATTATTCATTTACCAATAACATTCTTAATATACTCCTACTTCTTCATCCTCGATTCCGGGATAGAAAACTTGAGAACTATGGACTTTGAAAACACGAGAGTGTTTTAATTAGTTGCCCTAATTATACGGTAAGCCAGCAGCGGGTTACGCGGAAGATTTCACGAGCGAGCACGCGTCTGTGATAAATCACAATTAAAACGGTAGAAAGGGAAAGATTAGGAGAACGAAAGAAAGCCGCACGGCCACCGTTTCCACCGTCGAAAGTAGAAAGGAAAAAAAGGGAACGAGTGGAGTGGTAATAGTTGGCGAAGAAAGCTGGAAAAGGATGTATATATATATATGTATAAAAATAGCCCGGGGGTCTTCGGCCCTCTTATTTACAGCACTAAAGCGCGGCTTATCGTAATTTTCCCGGTAATTGTTATTAAGTGCCGCAGCAAGCCTCTCGCCTACGACCCGATGTGATTGTAATTCACGTGAGGCGGTGCCCGTTTAGTGGGAACGGTAGCACAACAGCGAATTAATGTAAAATGCGAATTAACCTGCACACGCGTGCGGTCATTCGTCTGCCTTTCGCTCCCGTGAAAAATATCCTACGGTTTATGAACCGGAAGCCCCGGAGCGAACTTCCAAACAAGCCTCCGGCAAGCTTTATTCTTCAACCCCCTCGAACAGTTTTATCGCTGATTCATGACCGAGCCAGAGATTAAAAAACATTTCGCCGATGAGTAATGCGTTGTTGGGTTAGCTAATAAGAAATTACACGATGCTTTAGCATTGCACGCTCGTGATAAACTGGCATGACGCGTACTCTCTTCTCGGTGTTTTTGATTAAGCAAGTCAAATTCGAAATTAGCTGAACGCTACGAGAGATGAAGGAATCACTGTTGCCGTCCCGGCTAAGCCTGATACCAATGTCTCGAGATCTTATTGTTTTTTTTTCTCGGTTAACTTTGTTCGCCTGTTTCGCTAATTAACCGAAGTTTAATCTGGAGAACTCTTTTAACGCTCGTTAGCAGGCGACTTCGCGCCTCGAGAAAATGTTCTGTACTTTCGTTTTCCAATTGGATCGCGGGGTAAACATTATCTTTACACGTAATACTGCTGACTATAGTAATTTCCTGTACGCTGCGATCCACTCCTTGAAGTTTTCAGCTTCCTGCGTCAAACGTCGCAATCTCATAGGTAAAGGCGGAACCTCGGGGAAAGAGGACGAGTAAATAAATAGCTGATTGCAGTGGAACGCGAATGGGGGATGGGAACGACGAGAGTGAAAGGAGGCGCGCATACACGATCGATCAAAAGTTTGGATACACGTGGCGCAATGTACTGTTAAATCTGCGGTTATTTTATTTTTTTTAACTCCGTATAAACCGATTTCACGACGAGATGCGCGCGTCGAGCAATCGATTTCATTCAGACTTGCTGACCCAGAATTCATCCTTGACGGAATGATTTCCGAGATCACTCCCATTACCAGCAAGTAATAAAGTGAAAGGGGAAACCTTGGAAAAAGCATGATAACATCTGGTGATCTTTATCCTATTGAATTATACTGGCTACAAATTGGATGGAGGTATCAGGAAACGTGCTTGAAAATTGAAACTACGTTTCCTAGAATTAGTACCACAGAGTTTCCTAGGAAACCAGATAACCTGGACGAAAGTAGGAAAGGAAACCTAGTGATTTCCTTTGAAGCGAAAGCTAGAGACGAGAGTATACATTTGACAAATTATTCCAGGAATAAACAGCATCGAATCTTGATTTCAAGAGATTCCTCTTAGCGAATCGTGTTCGTTGCGTCGGTTAATTAATTCATTGCATTGAAATCAACTATGTAGATTCACTGATTGGTCAGAATTCAGTTAACACATAATTTAATTAATCAAATTCAAAATTGTTTCATTAATTTTTAATGAGTCAACAAACTCGTTAAACAAATTCGCTAATCCACTCGGGTTTACATTGTCGAGTTCCGTCATAAATCTCGTGCCAACTTCGAGTTCCGACTTTTCTTCTCATTAACGTGCCTACCGAAACTTTTGAGCGCAGCTCGTAAACGACCAAGTGGATAAGCTCGCGAGGCCAAAAGGAGACGGAGACAGATAACAAGGGTGAACGAGGGACAGAGAGAGAGAATCAGAGTAACGCTTTATGAAGCATTCGCGAACGTGCTCGGCGTGCGAAACCACGAGAGTTAACCGCTAATTGTACCTGGCGAAAGAGATATTACGGGGGGGAACACCGCGTGGAAAGTCAACTTTCCCCGATTTTCCAGCGTTCCACGCGAGTAACATCTTTCCCCGGACCTCGTCTTGCCGTATCGATTTTCGAACGTTGCCGCGCGCGATCGAGCGTCAGCTTTTAATTAGCGATTCGCGTGCACAAGGACGTTCGTCGATCGGGACACGATTCTTAGATTGGTTCGAGCACGCTAAACGTCCTGGTTGAATAAAGAAACACGTACTCTAATTGGTAACTCGTCAACTGACTATGAAGTTGTTTGAGTAGAAACATCGACTAAAGATCCACTCGTATCAAACTCGTTGACTTAATTGATAAATGACTTTTAATCGAGCGTTTAACGAGCTGATCTAGATAAGAGTAAACTGTTTGAATTCGCTAAACAATTAACCATTTCTTCGAGATTCTTCAAAGTAGACTATTAAAAGCGTTCGGTCTCGGTTCGAATTACCAAAATGAGAAGGTACCACTATCCCATCTATCAATGGATTACGTCGGACGAAGGAAGGAAGACAGCGTGCATGCAAGCAATTACGCCGGAAATCGAAGCAAAAGAAGGAGAGGCCGAAAATAAAACGTTCCTGACCGAACGCTGACCAAACTCTATCGATTTCGGGATAGCCTCGTCTCTTTCGTTCGTTACGTCGTTAGCGTAACGGCAACGTGGTTTGACGTATCCAAACGGATTCGATATCGATTACAATACTGAAAGTCCAGGATATTGCCAAACGAGATTTTGTGGCTAGGTTCGATTTGCCCTCGGCTCACAGTTCTGTCTTCACCATTTGATTAACTAGAGTCATTTCTCAACAGTTCAACAATCTGATCTTAGAGTTAGTCGAGAATGATCAAAGACCATTACCAGATCAAAACGTTGGACAGTTTTCAATATTAAAATATAGTTAACTTCAAATCGACGATGATGATGCTACTAAAAGACGACAAACATTGGAATCGATCGATTTAATCGATCTCAAGAAATACAGAAGTAAACGTTGCTGGTATTTGTAAATTGTATCGAACAGTATAAAGGCGACGCACACACGTATACCTCGTTGGCCGTGTAATTTCGATTGCATTATGCGGAAAATGGATAGACGCATGGGGAATGTGCATAGCTTCTAACGAAGAAATGATTTGATCGGCTAGCCGCGGTTGATGAGGGACGACCTGCTTCGATCGCCCCTGTGCTTCTGATTGCGTATCAGCTGCGAATTACAAACACGTTCCCCGTTTGATAATTTTATTTACGCTCCGTAGATAGAGCGAAAGGGCTCGCTATTGATTGCTCGACTAATTGCAAACGTCCTGCGTCGCTCGATGGACTCGGGGTTTATGCGTTTCGATAAAAATCGAGGGAAGAGTCGACAAAAATCTATGTGCAGCTCGTACATTGAAAGTTTTAATGAGGAGAGGGATAAAGGAGACGGAGAGCACGTTTGTCCACGGTAGCGGGTGTAACGCCAATAAACTTTCATTATAAATCTCCGTAGCTCGCGGCGGCTCGAGAGAATCAACGAATTAACGTGAAAATATTGCCCGCGCCGGAGTCCGAGCAGCTTTCGGTGCCACCTAGTTGGCTGAAATCAACGCCGTGATATATCACTCGGTTATCTGTGATCGCTCGCAGACGTTAAAAGGGATTTCATATAAATTTTTTTGCCAGCCCCTCTCTCTCTCTCTCTCGGTCTCTCTCGGCAGGAACATCTCGAGTTTGTCACATTCTTCAAACAGTTATTATCCTTGTCACGAACGAATACGCGAATTTTGATTAAAAATCCAATATCAGAAATAAACTTGGCATTTGTCAAATCAACGTAGACAACATTTAGATTTTTCAAATCTCATTACAGTTCTAAATTGGGAATTTAATTCTGATTTAGAACTGAACAACCGTGAAACGAATGAGAGAACTTTTAAAAAGTTAATTTCTGACGATGAACAAAGGACACCTTTAAATAAAAAGGAATCGGTTTTTCACGTTTAACAAAGCATCTCTGAGCGGGTATGTCGCTTCTTTGAATTGGCGATTACGTCGGTAAACCCCTGACGTTCGGCCCGAAGAGCGATGCGTCGATTCCAGGTCGCAACGCGGAACGGAAACGCGTAACCGATGGCAGAAGCCACCGGAACCATGTCAACCAATGCTCGGTACAGAGCGAAATACGGGTTTACAAAGCGGCCGTTTGACCGAGCTTCGCACACGGC